AGAGGCTGCCGTCCAAAAGGTGATACATGTTCCTCTTTTGGTTAACACCACAACTGGAGGAACTGATGAAATCATAGAGGACGAGAAGGCACAATCATTAGGGAGAAGTAGGGAATCCCCATGGTATACAATCACGGTTGAAGAATATACTAATGTTGGTAATAACACAGCGTTTGTTTTGGTGCAATACATTTTTCAGAGGGATGCCCTATGTATACTTTGCCAGCCAACGCCACAGCTGCAGAGCCATCCAAGCTTTGGAATGATTACAAATCAGCAAAGCTGAATTGGTCATTTTGGGGTCAGTACCAATATCCCTCGCTTAATGACTGAGTTCCATTCTTGCAACTAGTTTATTAAATGACTTGGTTGCTACACTCTATAAAGTACTCACATTACAATGTTTAAAACAAAGAAATGGTCAAAGGAAACTCCAATTTGATGGCTTTGCTGTTATTTGCATAACTCCTACATGCAGTACCGTAATTATAACAGAATATAAAACTACAGTACTATATTGTACAGTACAATCAACAAAAATTACAGTAGAATATAAATGAGGTTTCCTGTTCAAAAAAAGATATTGAGGCTCTAAAAACAACATGTACAAAACTCTACAAAAAAAGACAGGTCAGCCTCTCTCTGGCTGATGGCACCGAGGTTGCATGTGTGAGCCCTGACTACCACCACCACCAACATGCGCTATGTGGCCTCTTACTTACTGTCTGTCTTTGGAGGCAACTTCTCCTCCAGTGCCAAGGACATCAGGAAGATTTTGGACAATGTGAGCATCAAGGCAGAACATGACCAACTTAAGGTCATCTGTGAACTGAATGGGAAAAACATTGCACTTGTAACCACCCAAGGGATTGGCAAGCTTGCCAGTGTGCCGGCTGGTGGGGCTGTGGCCAGCTCTGCTGACCCTGGTTCTGCAGCTCTTGTCACTGGTTGTGCCTCAGCTGCAGCAGAGAAGAAACAACAGAAGAAGAAGGAGTCTGAAGAGTCTGATGATGACATGCAATTTGGCCTGTTTGATTATTCCTTCCCCTCTGCAAATAAAGCCTGTGCATGTACCTTAAAAAGAAAGAGGCAGGTAAATCTGAATAGTGTGCCTCAGGTGTTAAGTCTGAACAGTTGTTAAACAAATAGGTCATTAAAAGGGAAGTGTTTGCATATACATGGACGGAGTGGCTGCCATGACATCCTGGTTTTATTGCTCAAGTCTAAGAAGTTGCTTCTGAATGTGAGTCTACATGCAGAGAAATACTGTCTAGCTGAAAAATGTCACCTGAACTGAACAACATTTTACAGAACGTGATTAAAATTATCAACCACATTAAACTGCATGCCCTCAATTCAATCTGTTTGCACAGATGTGTACGGAGATGGATATTGAGCACACAGGTCCTCTCGTACATAGAAGTGAGGTAGCTTTCTGAAGGGACTTCTCTCATCAGAGTTTTTGAGTTATGAGAGCTGCTCCAGAGATTTCCTTTACAAAAACAATCACCACTGGCAGCGCATTCCGGTCACAAAATGAGTCACAAAACTTGCTTACACAAGTGACCTACTCAACCTGCTCAGGGAACTCAATCTGTCACTTCAGGGGAGAATGACAACTGTGTTGAAGTTGGCGATAAAGTGCTTCCACTGAGAGCCAAACTGGAATTATGGGGGCAGCCAGTGAACATCAGGAGTTTTGACATATTTTAAAACATTGACAGAGATTTTGAAAGATACTGAACCAGGGCCTTCTTTCTTCTAGCGGGTACATGATCTCCTGTCTGAGATTTCAAAAGAGTTTGAGCATTATTTCCCAATCATAGGAGACCCCTGACCTGGAGTAGCACAGATCTGCAACCCATCTGTGAATAAGTGGGGTGAATCAACTTTGTGCTAGGAAAGGATCACCTGCTGTACTTGAGACTGTGAATGACAATGGCCTTAACTTATGTTCAAGAGGATTTCAAATTTCCATACCTTCTGCAATAAAGTCAGGGCAGAATATCCTGTGATTGTCAGGATAGCCCTGAAAAACGTGCTTCCATGTCCAGCATCCTACCTTTATGAAGCAGGGTATTCTGTAGTAACAGCAACCAAAATGAGATTACAGAGTAGAGTCAGCATGAGTAGTACACTGTGGACGTCACTGCCTCCCTTCACCCCCAGATGGGACCATCTAGTTGCAGGTAAACAAGCTCACAGTTTCTACTAATTTCTTTAATAATAAACCTTTAATAAAATAAAATTATCAACCACATTAAACTGCATGCCCTTAATTCAATCTATTTGCACAGATGTGTACGGAGATGGATATTGAGCACACAGGTCCTCTCATACATAGAAGTGAGGTAGCTTTCTGACGGGACTTCTCTCATCAGAGTTTTTGAGTTATGAGAGCTGCTGCAGAGATTTCCTTTACAATTCCAAGAGAAATTATGACTTTATTTTTCTAGATGGTATGTTCCTTAAATTTTCAAAGAATGTGTATAATATTATTAGTACAAGCAAAACAGGGTTGGAAATACAGAGTGCTGAAGCTCACCCAATTCTCATCATTAAATTGAGTTTCTGTTTTAAACTGAAATGCATCAGAGATGCAGCATATTTACATTATTTATAGTTCAGGATGCAATTTCATTGCATTAGCTCCTTTAATGATTAAAATGAAGCTGTATGGTTTAAAAAAAACTATCACTGCAATGAAGATGTGATTCAGATTGAGAGAAAAAAGATTTGCAAATGTGCCACCAATCCAGGGCTCAGCCTCAGGTCCTCTGATTCCAATTTCAGCACATCTTCTGAAGCAGTTTATAACTATTCTAGAATTGCACGTCCATTAGAAAATTCTGTAATTCAACACTGCAACAAAAAAAGTGAACTTGTACTTCTCTAAGTTGAATTTGTATTCCCTTTAAAAAGGAATGAAATTTTTAGCTTTTATATCATCATACAGTTTCATTCAATAGAGTATTATGGAGTGAATTATTTAAATGTCATAACATTAAAAATGGCAAAAGGCAGCTCTAATGGCTTGACTTATTCGATTATTTTGTCTAAGCAGTTCTTGAGAGTCTATATAAATTATTTCTTTTTTCTTTTTTGGTACGTAAGAGCAAATTTGCTGTCAGTTTGGTAAGTCTGACTTAATGTTTGACAGGTACTGTGTGTTCACCAGCTTTATGTTACTATAGCAAATACCTGAGGAAAGTGAATGCACAAAGAAGAAAGTTTCATTCCGGCTCCCATTTATGAAGGTTTCAGCTGATGACAGAACAGCCCCATTGCTTTGGGACTATGACAGGCAGCGCGTCATGGTGGGTGCAAGAAAATAGAGAAAGACATTGGCATTCCATGAACTCCTTGGTGGGCATGTCCTCAGGGACTAAAATCTTCCAGTCACCCCACCTCTAAAAGTTTCCCAAAACCTTCCAATAATACCAAGCTAAAGAGGAAGCCTTTCACACATGGGCTCTGGTGAGCATTCCAGACCTAAACTATCACATGGAACCTGAATACTAGTTGTAGTTAGTACCTAAATTAGCTGTCATAAAAACTAATAATTGTAAAATATAACTTCTGCTTCTGTTCAGGTATATGAATCTATCCAAGTTATGCTTTTTACTTCCTCAAACATATTTGGAGTGTCCACTGTGTATAAAATGTGCTTCTATTGGTTATTATGACCCAAATACACAAAAAGAAATGGTCTTGTCTTCAAGGAGTTTACAGTCCAGTGCTGTACAGGGAAATGCAAAAAACAATAGAGGCTTTGGTAATGGTAACCAAATAGAAAGTAACTCATAACTATCAGAAGGGGAAAATATTAATTAGAATGGCAACAACAGGAGAATTCATAAAGAAAGGAGCACTTGCACTGAATCTTAAAGAGTAAAATGCCGTAGTGAGGGAAAAAACACTTTATTTAGTGGGAAAAACATGACCATCTCTCCTATGCAGGTGAAGAATGGAGGGCCTGAACAAGAGAATGGTGCTAATACAGTAGAGAAGGAAAAGGTTAGAAAGAATAGTGAAGACTTGGCAAAGGAAGGTTGGGGTCAAATCATAAAGTCATACAAGGCTCCACAAAGAGCGTGGATATTCTGATGTTGGTTTGCAAGGAGTGGTAGCATGACAAAGTCTGATGAGAATGTTTGAGATGAGTCAAAATGGAGAACAAGGAAGATCGAGTGAACAAACTGGGTGACCCTTACGCGTGGAGTACGGAGGCATAAAATAGGGAAGTGGCAGATGAAGAAACAGACAAAAAGAACTAAAGAGCATTTCAGAAGTAAAAGCACTAAAATGCATTCATTCATTCTGTGTGAGAAATGCAGAGAGAAACTATAGTAAGGAACAAACAAAGAATAGCACTTTTTGTGCGTAGTTAGGATAAATTGGCTCCCACAGTTATTTCATGAGCAAGGGCCTCAAAATATAAATCTCCAAGCTCTGGTCTCTGAGATTGTTATGCAAGATGTCTGGGATGAGAGCTTCAATTTTTAACATTTCTTCAGCTAATTTATTACCAAGTAATCCCTACCATGGACCTGGTGGGTGGCGAGCCACGTTGTTAACATGGAGCTATTCCATTAACGGTGATGTTGTTTCAGTCTACTACCTTAGGAAAGAGATGATGCCATCATTTATAATCTTTGAGCAGCTTATTTCATAGAATCCCAAGAGAAAACCAGTCTTGAACATTAGCTTTCCCAAATTTCCAAGCAGGATCTGATGACTTATTTTAATAAACTATTATTCTGATGCTTTTTTTGCTCTCTGTTTAATTCACAGACACGTGTAAGGCCCATTGACAGATAAGTCTTAGGCTAGCACAGTGGAAGACACAGACAGTGGCTTGGGAAGAAAATGCATCCAGAGGCCTATTGATTTATTGATACTATGAACACTTTCATGAAGAACACTCTTAAATGAGGAGAAAAAGTTTTAGAAAGTTAATCAGGCACTTGGAATACAAAGTGTACATACATGTTCTTTATTAAATTTTTATCACAATATTATTTAACTCCCTAAAATAAATTACAGACAGATATGACAAATGTCAAAATAGTGACACTTCATAATCAAAACTTAAAAGGTAATCAACAGGCTAGAAAAATTATATAGTGCATTAAAGAAAGAAAGAATCACATCTTATGTAAAGAATTTATTAGAATTATAAAGAAAAACAAAGAGCCAAAAAATGATACAAATATGTAAACAGATAATGCACAGAAAGAAATACAAAGGACCAATATAAGTAACATTTCTTCAATCTCAGTAGTAATTAGAAAAGATAAAAACAGAGTAATATATGGGTTTTGTTCAGAACATGGACAGGACAGTTCTCAAACTGATGACAGTGTTTGAGAAAGTGCATCAAAAAGGTAGTCTAGTTACATAAAATTTGTGGGAATTTAAGTTGTTTTTGCCTTTCTTGAGACTAATTTGGCAATATCTATGAATCAAAATACATATACTATTAGGTCTGCCACTTCCAATGCAATCTAGCCTATAAAAGTACTAATATACTTTTAGTACTAGTATAAAAGATGTATACTATCAGTTTCACCATTATTCATAATAGTGATAAAAATTGGAAATAACCTAAGTATGTATGGATAATATAAAAATAAATTATGAAATGTCATACAGCAGTTTAAAGAATGGGGCAGATTCATGTCTTGATAAAAAAGAGATTTACTTTGTACAACAAGGTCAAAAATCAATTCATACAACGATATGTACAGAATGATTGAATTTATATATACTTCAATGTCTATGGTTGCATGTCCACACATAGGCATGCAAAAGTATTTTACAAGGATAAATGAACACAGCCTAACAGTGGCTACTTCTAGATAAAGGGACGATTTGCCAAAGAAGGGGCTCATGGGAGATTTTCATTGTTTAATCTGTACAGCACTGCATTATGTAAATTTTCTACAGATATCTTTCTGATACTGAAAGAAACAGAAAAGCAGTAAACTCAAAGGCTTCTTAAAGGAAAAACAGCAGACCTTCGTTATCACTGTCTTAATAAGAAAGAAAACCCTGATCTGCCCTGTTAGCTTTATCTTTGACCAAATTCTAGGACTGCGTTTTCAAAATAAATTAAAATGTAACCTGCCTTATGATTAAATAAAGGATTTAGCTTGTGGAGACGTCACATTGTGAATTTGGGTAAAAATTAGTTTGCTTGTTTATCTTACTATTTTTTTCTTGTAACGCTCTCGCTGATGAAAGTTGATTTAATTGTGTGGGCGTTTGTAGGTGATTCTCCGGCAAAACAAAATCCTTATCACATGAGAAGGAATTTCTCAGTCCATTCAAGCCCCCGATTAGGTTCACTGTATTTGTAGGTATAAAGATCACATCTCCTAACTTAAGAGACTGTACTTTATACCTTGGCCGACACCTACCTGCCGTTTTCATGCCTTGTTTTGAGATCAATCCCCACCCATGTTGATGCTGGCAAAGCCCTTGGAGCTTTCCACACACAAACCTGCTCCACACAAAGATTCCCCACCAGGCGAACGCTTGCGCTACTGATGCGTATTTTAACACTCCGCCTGTTACCTGCAGAAAGGGACGTGGGTCCCAGATCTCAGTCGTACTTCCAGCTTTATTTCTGAGACTAATCAGTCACAAAGAGTTAGCGGCGTCATTCCCCAAAGGGGGACTTCCCCACATGAAAAACGTCCTCCTCTGAGGGACTACCTATCCATCCTGTGACACTGTGATAGTTCAAGCCCCAGGAAGCATTACGCAGAGGTGACAGCATTTGGAGAGAAAGGGTGGAATTTCCTTTCTTTACGTGGGTGAGAAGAGCACACAGGTGTGTGTGCGTGTGTGTGTGTGTGTGTGTGCACGTGTGTGTGGCCGTGCACAGCATTCTTTAACTAGAAGAATATATAAATATACACACATTAAATATATGTATATGCACATTTTTTTCCTGCCTAAAGCAGCCAGGCCGGCCTCTTTTCATTTGATCTTAATCCGTCTTCCCCGCCAGCGTGGCCCTGAGCACCCCTCTCTATAATAAATAGCTGGCGGTGCAAGACATTCAGGCAGCCCCCTTTGATCACCTCAGAGCTGTCAGCCCGGGCTGCTGTTTTCCTCCCAGCTCTTGTTCCTGCCTAAAAGTGGAAGTAATACCCCCTGAAAGAAAGACCCTAGGTGTCCTGCGAAGCATCCATCTATTTCTTTTTTTTTTCCTGAGGCCCACCCTCCCAGCTTGGACAAATCCCCCTGTCTCCGCCTCCTCCGCCCTGCACAGCCCATGGCCCCCCGAGACGCCCTCCCCTCGCGGCCGTGACCTCTGCCCGCGCCGTCTGCGGCGCTGCCACCCGGCCAGACTGGGAGGCCGCGCCCCGCGCCGCCCCGCGCCGCCCCTCCCGCCCGGAGCCGCGTCCTGGGGGTCTGCGCTGCGTCCTACCGTTCGCTCTGCAGCAGGCAAGCCTCCTTGCTCTCCGCGCGCAGCCTTTTGCGGACACCCACCCACGCGCCTCGCCCCCACCCTCGCCGGGAGCTCGGGGTTGCCCTGCCGACTCCCCGCCTGCGCTCTCTCGGGTCCCCGGCTGCCGCCGAGGTCAGGGAGGCGGGGAGGGCGTCGGACTGGGCCTCAGCTGTGAGCCTTTGCAAAGGCGACTGCCTCCAGACGGGGCATTGAGCACGTTTGCAAGCTGGAGTTCCGGTTTCTTCTTGTTTACAGCCGAGATCATAAGCAATCTGTGCCCCCTCTTATCTCCGTGTCAGGCAGTGATGTATAGTTTGTAAATATTATTCGAAGGAAATAATTCGCAAAAGCAAACAATTGGAAGCAAAGTGTACGGACCACGAGGTTTGTCTTTAATGTGTTTACCAAAGGACAGGGAGGGCGGCTGGGAAACGGGGACCCGGTGGGGTGGGGGTGGCGTGGGGTGGGGGATGGGTCCAGGGAGCCTGATGGGCCTGTGCTAGTGGCATAGCTAATTAAGCGGAGTGTTGCTTAAAAGCTTTTGCTCTCTGGAATTGCTCGAAAGTATGCATTATTTAAAAAAAGAAAGGAGTGATGATGTAGAACCGGGTTTTGCTGGGGGTGGGGGTTAAAAGGACTGAATAAAACTGATTGTGCTGGCTCAAAAAAAATGTCAAATTGCAGTGGAAAGAAATACAGCATTGCAGGCTGGTGCGCCGAGGCCCCAGCCAGGGAAGCCAGAACTGCTAAGTGGAAAATTCCTGCGGAGGACGTGTTTCCATTTCCAAGGGGAAGAAAGAGGGTGTTGTTGAAAGCTGGCAGTTCTTTGGAAAATACAGAAAGCGCAGGGAAGATGACAAAAAAACGACCTCATTGAACTCAGAAATTAAGCAAAACAAACAGTTTTAGCCCACTACCACATTCTGATAGTGCCTGAGCCCGCATAACAAGACGGAGCTCTGCGGCCCCGTTAAGAGGCTGAATTCTCAGCTCTCCCTCCCGGGTCCCCCGGTCTGCCGAGAGGAGAGGGAGGCAGTGGCAGGCGCGGGCAGCCGGGCGAGCCGGGGCAGCGGTGCAGGGCGCGCGGGAGAGCGCGTGTGCTCCTGCGGCGGCCGCCAGCGCTCAGGGCTACGCCTCCTGCGCATCCTCAGTCCTGAAAAGGTGACGCACCTGCGTCTGTCAGACACCAGGATCTCAGTTTAAGCAGCCTTCTTCAGGCAGACAGAACCTCAAATTGGAGGAGTCGTGGGATTTTGCTCACCAGGGTGGCCTCTAGGAAGACTGGATTTTTCCCCCTAGGAAAGCTCGAAAGGTATGGGGAGGAGCTTGGGGAGCAGAGGAGCAGTAAGTGCATCTCAGAAGCTGTATCCAGCGAGGTGCGTTCCTGGAACTGCGACCAGCAGTGTCACTAGGACCATTTCTTGTCATCTCCATGCATCCCGTGGGAGGGAAGGAGACCAATAAGCCATGTTTGCTGTTCTGCAAAGGTTCGGTCAGAAAGAAACGAGGAAAAAAGCCGCCAATATGCTACGTGTGTACAAATGAAGTTCACAGGGTCTTCCTTTGCTGTGCTGATCCTTGCTCGTGATCCTTTCCCACATCCACAACACACTGACAAGCGGAAGAAAACTTGCTTCACTCTGATGGTTGTGGGGTGCGTGTGTGTGCGTGTGTGCGTGTGTGTGTGCATGCGTGTGTGTGTGTGCGTGTGTGTGTGTGTGTGTGTGTGTGTGTGTGTTGCGGTGGCTGTTTTAAATACAAGTCCATAATGGCCTGAGAATGCAATGACTGTTGAATTATATTAAAAACACTTTATAAAACTATTTCCCATACCATCTTAATTAAAAATTACAGATGACTGAATTTATGTGGTTAAACTCCTATTGACAAACCCAAAGCGTGAATCAACACGTCTTGTACCGTTGCAATACCTCCCCTAAAATGGCCAGCGCCTTGGGTATGTACTTTCAATACTATGATGGGTCTTGGATTCTGAAAATTTTACATGGCAAGTAATACTTAGCTTAAGACAATAATTAACCCATTGCCAAAGTCATGTTGATGGTTGATCAAGGAAATGATACATTGTAAATTAACCAGTATATTTTTAGTCATTATGTTATAAATGTTCTCATCTGCCCTTGCAATCCATTTATGTAGTTTTTTGGGGTCTTACTGAGATGAAATTCAAACAGCACAAAATTCACTTAATTTCAGTGTCCTAGTCAATGGTTCTTAGGATATCTATAGAGATTTAGAGTCATTATTACTCATATTCCCCTTTCCATTTGGAAAACTCCATTTTTCTCTTTAATTCTCTTTCTTTTTATCCTTTTTCTCTTTCCCTTCCACCTTCTTCCATCTCTTGTTGTCCTTCCCATTCGAAAAAAAAATCTCCTTATCTCCTATTATCTTTTATTTTGTTCTTTATTTATACTTGAGATTTCTCATAGAAGAGAAACCGTGTGATGTATAAACTTGTGTGCCTAATTTTTTTCACTTAAAATCATGGTTACTTTCAAAAGAAGGCATCTTTTGAAGTGCTGAAGATTTTAAATGAAATTCAATTTGTTGTTTTTCTTTTATCACTTGTACTTTTATTGCCATATCTGACCTTCTCATACAATTTTAAGACGTAGTATTTCCTTTTTTAGGTAAAAGATACCTGAGATCAAGAAGGATTTATATTCTACAGGGTCAAGCAAGAGCTTCGCTTGAATAAATTAAATTTGAAATTGTAAGCTGCAGATATCACTGTATATTCCTTCTGTCAGTATTAGATGGGGTTATAACAGAGGGGTTAGGCTCCAGGACAAGACAGCATTGAATCTACTAAATCTTCCTTTCATTCTCCTGAGTTTACATATGATATTCTTGATATAGTAAAAATACAAAATTAAAATGTTAGGCCATTCTTTAATACTCTGCTGAAAGTAAAAGCAGATATCTGTCATAACCTATCCTACTAATAGAGTTTATTTTAAATTCAATGTTATTCTGCCTTACAGTTAATTTTGCATAACTACAGAGAAGAGAATGCCTTTTTCTGTATTTAGAATTGACTTCCCTGTTGTTCCAGTAAATCCTTTACAGAGGAAAATGGAGTCAGTGTTTTATTTACCCAATAAATATTTTTTTAAATCTAACATATTAGCCAGTTTTAAATTCTGCAGTGAAATACTGGAGTCAGGCTAACTTTATGAAGAGTAGAGATGGATTTAGCTAGGGGATTTAGCTCACAGTTCTGCAGTTTCAAGGTCAAGGTGCCAATATGAACTGGGCTCGGGAGAGGACCGCAGGACAGATCCCACGTGAGGGAGAAAGGACGCATGTCAGCCCAAGAAACCACAGGAAGGGAGAGACCAGTGGTCTTTAATAACAAGTGTTATAAACCAAGGAGTACCAAGAGAACAAACCCACTTTCTTCTAGGGACAGGGCACTCAAGGACGCACGAGGCCCCTCCCCTTGAAAGTCCACCCCACTTCCCAACTCACTAGGTGCCAACGCTGAGGGACATCCTCAACATGTATCCAAACGATGGCACCTGCTATGTGCCTGTTACCACATGAGAATAAGAAAATAACCGTGATAGTATGGGCAATTTATAGCTTAGAATACCATACAAAGTCTTATACAGATGGCCTGTGTTTGAGGTCAGCACCATGTCCTCTCTTCATAGTCTTAAGGTCCTCTCTTACGATACAGCCTCTCTCATAGTTCCAGAAAGGACTGTGCCACTTTCAGGTTTTGTTTCAAGAATATTTTTAAAATGCCTGCTGAATGTGAAATTGTAATATACTTAAAATATACTTGACAACTTTTAACCTGTATATTTATGTATATACATGTGTATATATATATATATATATATATATATATATATATGCACTTATAAGATAAATGGAGGATGACAAGAATGTGCACTGCTGCTGTGCTACATACCACATGTCTGAGTCATGGTGCAAAGGTTCAGAATTATGACAAACATTGTTGTGTCTACTTTTCATGTGTCTGGGACTCCACACGCAACTTATTTGAAAATGACATCGAAAGTGTAAATGGAGGATATTAATCTTCTCCTTATGTCATGAAATTTGTGAAGCACCTGACAACTTCTTTCACCTTTCCTCCCTGAAGTACTGCCACTTACATGGCATCCAGGTTGTGACATGACTCTGAAGAAGCTGACCTGTCCTTCACCTGCAGAGTCTGAGGGGTTGACAGTGGAAGGCATTTTACCCTACAAGCAGCCCAAACTGCAGTGTACAATGGGGAAGTATTATAATCCTAAAGCAATGCATTTTTAATAGTGAATATTAATTATCCAGAATGTTGGGTTTTATGGTAGCATTTTCACGCAGACATATAACATGCTTTGATCACGCTCCCCTTCTTCGCTTCCATTACCATCTCCTTTCCCATCCTCTTGGTCTCTTTCCTCTACCCCAATAGCCTCTCTCCTATAAAGTGCTGTGTTTTATTGCTCCTTTAAATCATAGAACAGTTATATCTCTATTTCCCAGAGGGACCTTTGTGTATTAACACCCCAGAGCGCTTGCTTCAGCAGCACATACGTGCTGACTTTGGTAGCACATATACTTACAAAACACCCCAGAAACACAGGGTGTGGGGGTAAATGATTTAGCATAGAAATAGACCCCAGATCAACAGGTCTAGGTGAAAAAGAAGGTCAAGCTTAGCTAATTAGAGTACAGGATTTACTAACTGGATTTCTCAGTAGGAAGAAGTAGAGGGAAAATCCCATGCTTTAGCTGCTGAGGATTGAGGAAAAGGACAGTGATGTACAGTACGGCTCATCCCCCACCCCCAGTCCCTTTGTAAGACCAGCCACAGATAAGACAGCGTGGCTTCACAAAAACCCAGACAAGCTGGGGGCAGGTGGGGAGGAGAGATTCTGAAGCCACGAGGGCTTTTTTTTTGCCGTTTCTGTGATTGGGCAACGGAAGAAAAATCACCCTGGAAGCTGCCAACAATCAGTTGAGGGCACTGCTGTGTCACAGTGACCCTGTCTCCCAACCCTATGTTGGGAGGCCTTGGTGTTCAGCTCTCCCTAGGGTATCCTCCATTCCTTTTTCGGGGGCAGGGCCCACAAATAGCTCCAATGCTGGTCAGAGTGGCTCCTAGAAACATCCACCGTAGTTTAAAATAAAACAGCAGCAGCTGTGTTGTGGACACCTAAACCTGGACAGGCAGGCAAGCGCAAGGTCGTGAGTTTGATTCCCGATACCGCAAAAAAACAAAATAACAAAAAAAAAATAACAAAAAAATAACAAGTAAAAAGCACTTTTACTGCTAGAGATGGGAATGGAACAAGAAGAAGAACCCGTTAGTTCTGAGTAATGTCAATGGATGTTTAGTACCCAAAGAAGCTAGCTTAAATTACCTCATTCTGTGAATCTGAGACAGGGAATATGTCAGTTAGGTTTCAGTCAGAACAATAGAACCAGGGAGGGGGATGGAGAGATCGAGGAGAGAGAGATGTGTGCTGGGGGTGGGGATTTGTTTTCAAAAGTGATAACTTTTGTTTTGTTTCCATAATCATGTGATTACGGAAAAATTCTAAGCAAATCTGAAATTTCTAGTGGAGCTTTCGGGGAAGATAGTCAAGAACTCTCAGGTGAGGGAGAATCTTCAGTCCGCAGCAGAATTTTTGTCATCTTCAGGAAACCATCAGCTCTGTCCCACAGGCCTTTGGAGTGCTTCCTTCAGGCTCAATGAGATTATTTAAGGCATGTTATTTATTTAAGTCCACTGGTTATGCACTCTCATCACCTTTAAAAAATAATTTTACAGCAATATATAGTCTTAGATTGAATCACTTAGCTAGTATATCCTAACAAAACAGACCCCCAGAATAGACCATCAGAGCAAATGATGTTCATACCCCGCCATACTGCTATTCCCCACTGGGCTTCAAGAAGGAAAATTAGATACATTTCTCACAAAAGAAAGCAACCCCTCTTTCATTCTACAATGGTGTTGTCTCGTGAATTCGTTTGTAACTGCAGCGCTACGGGAAAAAGTTTTGGAGTCTCTTAGTCATGATCTGCAGGATGAAGGAAATTGTCCTAAATATAAAATGTAGATTCTGGTCTACAAACTGGTCATATGAAAATTACCTTGATTTCAGAATGTGAGTCCCAGAACTCTGAGAGAATAAATTTCTGTAGCTCGAAGCCTCCAAGTTTATGATAATTTGTTATAGCAGTCGCAGGAAACTCATAAAAGCACGGTGTAAATTCTGCTTTATTTAAACGGCTTGGAAAATGGACTGCAACTACGGATACCTCAAAATAACCTGTGAGTTTTTGTTTTTGTTTGCTTCAGAACAGGCTTTTCTTCTCCTTAAATACAGAAGCAAACTTTACTAAGTGCTCATAAAGAATTTAGAATAACTTAATTCAGTAGTCTCTAGGAATCTGTCTTGCTGTATTCGGGTGGCTCTTCAGTTTCCTCTGCTCACTGAGGAAGACATTATCTCCCTCAGTGAATGGTTCTTTATGAGCCGAGGAGGCCCTGTGAAGTTTTCTTTCTCTCCCTCCAACTCCGTGCTCTAGGCTGTCTCTCTCTCTCTGTTGTTACTTCTTGCAACCTTGACTTTCCTCCGACATTCCTGCTTCAGTTCTTTTCCCCTAATAAGTTACTCTACGCATAAATGTCAAGAAAATGTTTTTAAAAGCTCCATCAGATCTTACTCCACTTCTTTGCCCCCAGTTTAAAAATCACCAAAGGCTTTTTGTTGTGCTTAGAATAATATCAGGACCCCTTTCCTGGACATGTGTGTGAGGCCCACGAGGCTCTTGTCTGGGCCAGCAGAGCCGCCCTCGGCTCTGACCCTACTCCTTTGCTCACCGAGCCTGTGCCACTATCGCCTCATTCCTCTGAAATGTGCTCAGCAGTTACGGGCCCCAGGGCCTCTGCATTTGCTGTCTGATCTCCCGGAAAGCTCTTCTCTTGGGTTTTAACTAGGCTGGCACCTTCTAAGCTTGTACATCTCACTTCAAATGCCGACTTTTCAGAGGCGCCTTCCCTGACACTTTCCAAGTTGCTCCTTCTTATATCAGCCTGTGAATTTTCTCAGCCCATTCTGCATCACAGACTGTAAATATCTGCTTGATTGCTCATTTATTTATTTGCTATCTCAACTCACCAGAAGACAAAATTCTTGAGAACTGGAAGTTAGTGATTTTCTTCACTTTTGTATCCTAGTACATAGATATTCAATGAATATTGTTAAAAGGATGGGCAAATAAATATTAAAACAAAAAATGATGTGTTATGTTATATCTGCATAAGGTATGAACAACATATAGCTCACATACAAGCTATCAATTAAATCACATTAATTTTCATCATGTATTTTCTACCTCTAATGTACTTTAAATTTATCAAGTACAACTGTCTAATGAAATCCCCAGTCTTACCAATCCTTAGACCATTCTTCACTTGAGCATACGATATCTGTAAGAACAGTACCATTTTTCCTGTGCCTTACGATTCATCTGCCATGTGACTTTCATGTTGGAATAATTCTGCAGTAGCCCAAAGATAGCAAAATTCTTATATGGGCAGAGAACACATCATGACCAAAGTATAGGTCATTTAAAATATCATTTGCTAGTTTGGAAACAGAATAATAAATAGGAATTAAATTTCCAATTAAATTGAAGGGTTTGGGGCTTTGTTTTATCCATCTGTCTGTCTGTCTTTCTGACTATCCAGCTATGTGCTTATTTTTGAGAAGAAAGCAAAAGACTGAGAATAAAACACAGGAAAGCACTTGTTTTTATGGCAAGACTCTGGTTTCCTTGAAATTTTTTGTAAAGGTTTTTACTTTGGATATCAAAGGTAGCAGATTTCCTTCTAAGATATGTTCACCAGGCTTCCAGTTGCCAGTACTATAATTTCTGCTATAAAATGTCTAATTATTTTAAGAAGCAACTACTATTAAAAGCACCACACATAATTGAGTTGAGATATAAACTGTCATAACTCACCAAATTTAAATACAATGTGCAATTGACATGCCTTCCGTATGTCTGCATATTTTGTACCATCAGCACAGTACTAGATCCCTGTCTGGAAAGACTT